CCTCATCGTTGATGTTTCTCTCTCTCTCTCTCTCTCTCTCTCCCCCGCCCTTCCTCTCTGAAATCTATAAAAATATATTTTTTAAAAAACAAGGCCACGGGCCCCCAGCACTCGCTGTCCTCCTGCCCGGCCGTCCCCTCGTGTGGGTGAGTCTCCCTCGCGGGCACAGGACGGCTGCCGAAGCTCCGAACGTCGCACCCTCAAGCAAGCGTCCCATCCGTGCAGGAAGGAAATGGGGGGAGCAGCCGGCTTCCTCCTCTCTGCCTCTTATCAGGAAGGAGCTTCCCAAGTCACACACCAGCTCCCATTAAACCCAGGACTGGGGACGCGGCCCCCAGCGCCCTCCCAGCAGAGGGCGGGTCCCACGCGGGCGTGGCCTAAGCTTGTCCGGGACACGGAGACGGGCTCTGGGGAGGCCTCTGCCATCGGGGGCTCGTGCGTCCACCTTCCGGAAACAGGACTAACACACCAGGCGGTGGCTCCCAGCTTCCCCCACACCCAGCTCAGCGAGCGTCTTAGCCTTAAAATAAGATCCGGATGAGCCAGAGGCAAAGGCACGGACGGCAGGAACTATATTGGGATTCCCTGGAGCCCAGGAGGTGAGCAAAGCCGGGGGCTGGGCCCGGCCGGCGCACAATCCCATCCGCGCCCGTGGCGAGGATTCTAAAAATACAGCCTGTGACAGCCCTGTTTAAATAGCAAACTGCGCACGTGTGACCTGCTCCCTCCTGCCACGGAGCCTCCCGGGACGAGAAAGGGGTGACAGCCGCATTGCGTTGGCGGGACCAGGGGTGGAGACCGGCCGGTGCTGGAGTCAGCGTTTCCCACCCGGCCTCTGTCCTCAGTTTCCTCGTCGGTAACAGGAGGGAATGAGGACGTCGCCCTCAGCGGGAGTGGCCAGCGACGCACGTCAGCTTGGCCGTCCCGGCGATTGGGCTCTTGGGTCACGATCGGGAGCCGCCAGCCATGAGGTGCAGGCGGGCAGGTGGGCGCCTCCCTGCGACACCCCCCCAGTCGCCGTGAAGACCAGTCCCAGGCTCAGCGCGGCCCCAACGTCGGTTACAAACGCTGGTCAGCGAACGGCACCAGGTGGCCACACGCCTGCTCCGTAAGCATGAGGACGTCTCAGGAGAGCTCCCTTCTCAAAGGGGCTGCAGTCCCAGGTGCATGAACCGTCATGTCACTCAAGGTCAAGGTCACTCGAAGTCAAGGTCACTCAAGGTCAGTGTCACTACAGGCTGATGTCACTCAAAGTCGATGTCACTCAAGGTCAAGGTCAAGGTCCAGAACCCTCCACACATAGGCTGGACACGGCTGGACACGGCTGGACACGGCAGGTTCGGGCCCCGGTCCGGGCACCTCTGCCAAGGGCACGGTGTTTGCCCCGCGAGGGCAGTCCCCCCGTCGGCTCCGTGACAACAGAAGCCCTGGTTTGCTGGAGGTAAAGGCGGGTGAAGCCTGCGGTACCGCCTGGGAGAGCACCCTTCGCAGCATCGCCAACGCCAGCCCGCTCCCTGGGTGTCCCAAGCAGAGCATGGCGGTCCCCAGAGCGTGGTTGTGACCGCCCAGCCGCACATTCACAGTCTGGGCCAGTGACGGCGAACCTCTGAGCTCGGCGTGCCAGCGTTTGGAAAACCCCTAACTGAACTCTGGTGCCGTGTCACATAGAGAAATTTTTTGATATTTGAACCATAGTAAAACAAAGACTTACATTTTTGATATTTATTTTATATATTTAAATGCCATTTAACAAAGAAAAATCAACCCAAAAAATGAGTTCGTGTGTCACCTCTGACACGCGTGTCATAGGTTCACCATCACTGGTCTAGACTGTGGCATTTTATTTACTAATTTTAATTGATTTCAGAGAGGAAGGGAGAAGGAGAGAGAGAGAGAAAGATCAATGATGAGAGAGAATCATGGGTCGCTGAGGCAGGGAGCAGG